TAAAACACGCCGATTGTTATCTGGTCTAATCCAGTTCAGGTATTATCTCGTCCCATCACACGTGTTTTGGCGGATTGGCGTCGGCCATGATGAGTATTGCCGACGATGGAACGACTCCTCTTACAAAATGTTCACCTGTGCCGTAGTATCGCTTTTGAAGCGGGAAGCTCAAAAAACCACAAATTTCTTACGCAGACTGTGAAGTTATGAGTGCATTTCAGACTTTGCCGATGCGCTCATCGTGATTTTTGAAGCATTATCTATAAGAAACAACTCTTATTTTTGCTTTAGCAAAAGTTTGCAACAGGCCCATTCTAGAGCTCTGAAAGGTTTGATCCTCGAATCCCGGAGGGAAGGGGCTCGGAAAGCGGTCCTAGTGCTGCTATCTATGGGCGATTCGACGAAGCAGGGAGCGCGTCGGGGGTAGAAAACGCGGGAAGTCGGAAGTGCGGGAACATTAGATGACTGTTCACCCCTCGCGCTTCACGCGTCAGTGATCTTGTCAGAAACAGCTGTCAGTTTTTTCGGCAGTCGCACCGCGGCGACTATCCATCCGATGATACGTGAGAAGAATTCGGCCCTCGCCGTGACACCGGCCCCGCGCCGATTTAATTTTTCAATAAATGCCCGAGGGAAGATTTCAGACGGGCGCCTCTCTCGGATTCTGCGGTCGAATTAGTTGAAGGTAACAATCAGAATCAACAGGGACCCCGGGGAAGGGGGGGAGTGATTGCGAGCTGAGAATTTTTACTCGGTGACGTCACTGGTTGCGTGTAAAAATTAGCACGGGTCTTCTGGCGTGCTAAGGAAAAACGCCGTATGAGCCTTCAAACGTTGCCAAATGTCCTCCGATAAACACCGAATTCACTAAGGAAATTCTGAATGTTATTTTCCAAAAATTTCAGACAATTATGAATGCAATTTGACCTAAAGTATCTGAAAATTTCAAGGGAAAATATACTTGAATTGCGTCAAAAATACATGTTTCATCAAGCGAAATTTGGCAACTCTCGAATGTACATACAGCGTACTTCCTTAGCACGGCAGTCTTGTGCCCTGCTATTGGTCTGCAGCACTTTCTGCAGCTTACCTGCTAGAAAATTGAATTTTAAGCTTTTTTTATCATCATTCTTAATTTCTTAGATTTTAATTTATTTCATGATTCTACGTCTATTTATTATTTTAAATTTTTCATTGTCATTTTTGAAAAAAAGTACATATATAGAGGTGCAGCATCAAAAGAATGTGACCGCTGGCCAAACTGCTTTAATACCTCCAACATATGTTTCGGAGCAGTGGAAGTAGATTGCAGCATTTTGATCACGTGCATTTGTTTCGACCGTAACATTAGCGGGCATTCATTACCATATTTACATTATAATATCGCGCTCGTTCTGACCAGTTCGCCTTCAATACTCTAAGTAGGCAGTGTGAGCGGCTTTGGGGCGGTAATAGTTGCTTGGAGCATTTTTTGGCAAACTAAACAATCGCTATTGTATAATGGAAAAACCTTAATCAGGGTGACAAAATGCGAATCATTTGGTACAGTGTCCGCACACTTACAAATTGTTCATACCAGATGATTGAAGTTATAAAGTCTTCTTCGGGGTGCGCGCCGAAGTTGACGCATTCAAAGTGACGCTGCTTGTGAGTTGAGGAGCGACTTCCCGTTGACAAAAGTAGAAAAGAATAAACTAAAAAGACGGAAAGCGAAATGGAAAAAACAAACAGATTGAGAGGGGCTCTACGTAGGACAATTTTGATTCCGGGAGCTTCTTAAATTATTCACGAGTCCCATTTTCCATCATCATCGTCGGAGCACGATTTTAGATTAACTGAGGAAATGATGCAAGCTCGGGGGAGGGTAAACTGACAATATTTTGAGAGGTAACAAATTGGTTTAAATAAATCTTCGCGTCATATCAATTCATTACATATCAGGCTCCTTATAAAAAATGCCGAAGTGAGCAAATGCGTGTATTATTTGAGTATGCAAATTACCGTCAGCGTCAAATCATACGTACGTCCTCGCAGCGCAATATTGCGTATTGAACAACGAGGCCGGGCTAAAACCACGTATGTGCGTTGAGTATTCATTCTAGTTGCGTTGTTCTTGCTTAGCACGGATGTACAGCCGACACAATTTATGTGTCCTGGTGTTCCGTCTTCCGGCTTCCGCCCCTCTCGAGGCGCCAATGCGTCTTCATATATTTAACTAAGCAAATCAGTCACTTTAAAATGAAAGTCTTGTAAAAACTAGGGGTAAAGCCCACATTTTTATACATGCATTTTTATTGTTTACATTTATCTCAGCCTGTGACGCTGAACGTCTTAAAATATACTAACTAACTAACTAACTATCTCCTGCATACCCTGGTAGCAAAATCATTTTTTCCCCAAAAAGAAGAAGTATATTAAAAAGGTGCGAATTATGATGGCTAAATAAGATATATAAAATTTTTTTAAAAAAATAATTAAAAAAAACAAAACACATAAGGATGTAGCGTGGCAGCTGCAGCTATGGAGCTTGGAATTAAGTTTTGACAATTTGCAGTGGCATGGCGTGCTTTGCGATATATCGATTGATCAGCCATGTAAACCTATGGAAAAAGATCGGTAAACAGGGTGTTCGCAAAGAACACCTCAGTAATCGATTCTTTACTGCAGCTTCACATGCAGCTTCTATCAGCTTAAATCGATCGTTCACGCCTCGCCACTCGAAAGTTTGGCTCTATTTGACGAGCTCTGAGCATTTTTGAACTCATCATGCGGAGAAATTTTCACCGAACACTCTTTCTTTAAAATTAAACCCCTCATAAATGTGATTGGCGATTGCGCATTGCACTGTCTCTTCACTTTGTGTCGTTTCGTCGTTTCTCCAAGCGGTCAGCATAAGGAAGGCGCAAGCGCCTTCAATATTTGGCTATGCAACATGGACATCCATCAAGTGCGAATAGTTGTATCAGGTCGCGGCGCTTGAACCAACGATGACGCAGCGGCGCGGCGGCGGTGGCGGTCCTTCGCATTTTGAAACCTGTTCATTCATAAGTGAGTGATATTTTATTATCTCTTCATCCATAAGCTCTTCCAATTTGTGACCAAGAGAGTACTTTAGTATCTGAAAACTCGAAACTTTGGTTTTGCTTGAATGAGCGTTCCACGGACATTTAAGACATAAAAAA